ATTCAAATTTTATCCACCAACTTCGCCAAACTCGAGTTTTATTCCACTGACTTTTTATGTTTGTTGCCCTTGGATTTTATCCCACCAATCTCGACAGGTTCGGGTTTTATCCCACTGACCGTTTTTATTTTCGTTGGGTTTGAATTTTATCCCGCCAACTTCAGCAGGTTCGGATTTTATCTCACTGACCGTTTTTATGTTTGTTGGGTTTGAATTTTATCTCACCAATTTCAGCAGGTTCAGGTTTTATCCCACTGACCGTTTTTATTTATGTTGGATTCGAGTTTTATCCCGCCAATCTTGGTAGGTTCGGGTTTTATTCCACTGACGTTTTTTTTCATTGGATTTGGGTTTTATCCCACCAATCTCGCAGGTTCAGGTTTTATTCCACTGATCGTTTTTATGTTTGTTGGGCTCGAATTTTATCCCACCAAATTCAGCAGGTTCGGATTTTATCCCACTAACTATTTTTATGTTTGGTGGGATTGAATTTTATCTCACCAATTTCGTAAGACTCGGATTTTATACCACTGACCGTTTTTATTTTTGTTGGGCTCGAATTTTATCCACCAATCTCGGCAGACTCGGATTTTATCCCATTGACCGTTTTTATTTTCGTTGGGTTTGGATTTTATCCCACCAACCTCGGCAGGCTCGGGTTTATCCCACTGACCGTTTTTATGTTCGTTGGGTTTGGATTTTATCCCACCAATCTCGGCAGGCTCGGGTCGTATCCTACTGACCGTTTTTCTTGATTATTTGATTAACAATTGCGCTTTCTCATTCATTTTGTGTTTCATGTTTTGAAGGTCTGAAAGTTTAGACTTTTTCGACTTTGCAAAGATCACAGATGGTCAATGCACTTGTTTTATTGTGGTTCACTTGTAATTCGAACTACGTTTGACCTGATTCCCATGGCAGGATATGTAGGCAACTCTACATGAGCTCGGTTGCATTTTTTATAATTTCATTACATCTTTTGTTCAATAATTTCAGCCAAGTGTTGGCTTGTTTATTTTTAACTCAGGAGCAGTTAGAAGAGACAGGTAAGTATTTTGGTGTCTACGTCTTTATCTTCAGTTTCTTCGAAACTCTAAGACAAAGAGGGGTAATCTGTAGACACCAAAATTTTGTCAATTTTAATATTTCCTTGAATTTTTTTTCTATTTAATGAGTTATTTATTTTCTTGCATTTTTTCTTATTTTAATTTTTTCTCATTTTTTTCTAGGTTTATTTTAAGAAAGGAAAATTATAAAAAGAAAAAAAAAAAGATCAAAATCAAATCATGACTAAACTTACACATTTTCATCATTTTCTCTACCAAAACCCTTATTAACCCATTCTACACTCAATTCTCACGGACTTTTCTTTTCATTTGGCAGAAGCCATCATTTTGAAAGAAACCAAACCCATTTGACTCCTTCTCGGCCATGAGTTTTTCGGTCTCTCAACACTCAAGAGACACACAGGGGGAAGTCAGACAAAAAAAAAAAAAAAACACTCCAACTCTCACTCTGACTCTCGGCTCTCTCCCTCTCGACTCCTTTTTCTTTTTCTCCCAACACACTCACACACAACTTAAAACAACAAAAGGAAGCAGTGATCGGTTAGGCTATTTGGGAGCTTGGCAAATTTCATCAAAAACTTTGGCCAACGGACCAAACTCCTCATTGAGGTATTATTTTTTTTTCTTTCTTTTCTTTTTTCCAGTTTTTCATTTTATTAACTAATTAGATTAAATTCATGTTTTGCTATCTATTTGTCTCTGTCTTTTATTGATGTTGTTGTTATGTGGTGTTGTTGAAGTTTTGGGGCAAGCCATGTATGAAATTAAGGAAAAAAGATGATTTCTGTGAATGCATGTTAGGTGTTTGTAAAAATGCCAAAATGGAAAACGAATTAAAAGCTGAGCATTGTGCATGCTTTTTTGTCAAAAGATGACCATTTGACAGTGTAGGTCTAAAAATGTGTGGTAATTCAAAAAATTTTGGAGTTTTGAGTGTTAAAAGTTTTTGAACGATTTTTTATTTTTTGGACTGTTTTGGTTTAATTTTGTCATATTTGTTGTTACTTTTATTGATTTTAGTTCATAGTTATGTTGTAAAAATCACAAGGAGTGTTGTAGTATAAATTTTATGTTTTTTTTTGTGAAGATTTGAGGGTTTAAAAATTTAAAAAAATTGGACTTTTTTGACGTTTTGACCACTTTAGGGTCAATTTTTGTTAAAACTAAGCCAAAAAATGGAATCTATGCGAAAAATCGAGTGAGAGGGTGTATTTTGGTGAAATTCGGTGACCGAAAAAGTCGCCGCGACCGCCAGTGGCGGCGGCGCCACTAGCGGCCGCCATGGCCACCAGCTGAAGTTCAGCTCGCCGAAGAAGAAGAAAAAGAAAAGAAAAAGGAAAGTGGGTTGGACTAATATTTTTTTTGTGGGCTTGTTTCTTATTTTTGGTTGGGTTAGAAGGTCAGATCCATGCTTTATTTTGGTTGGATTTGAGTAATAAAAGACGGGTTGGCCTGTGTATTTTGGATTGGACTTTTAGCTGGGCTTAAGTAGTATTCGGCCCAAAGAAATAAAATGATGGCCGATGGCCTTTTCTTACCCAGGCAGAAACCAAAATTTTCACTTTAGCCCCTGATATTTGGAGTACTTTTACTTTGGCCCAGAACATTTTAAATTTCTTTCACTTTGGTCCTTAAATTAATTGCATTTTGGTTCCTAAATTTTATCTTTCATTTAATTTTAACCCCTAAACTTTGGAAAAATATAATTTTTATCCCCAAAAGTTTTCAATTTTTGCAATTCAGTCCCTAGTGAGTTTTATCTCTCTTTATTATGATTGTTTCTTTTCTTTAATAGCTAATTATGTCACTTTTAAATATATTTAAATTGTAAATTTTAGATGTTCTTAAATTTCTATGCATTTGACATATTAAGATGAATTTTCATTATTATTATTATTTTTTTCAATTAAATTGGTGTCATGATTCTTTTGTTCATTTTGAGTATAAATAAGGCTGTGTAATTCCATCAGGTCACCACTTTAAAAGGGAGGTACCCCTATTCTTATTATTTCAATGTCAATTACGTGCTCTTATATGCTCCTACGTGTTCTTATGTGTTTATATATATATATTTTTATATGCTTTATTTATTTGATTTAAATATTCATTCAAATTTTCTTATATATGTTTTAGTTAATTTTTTATAATGATTCGAGAGGCAATTAAATACCTCAAAAATGTAATAGATAGAATAATTAGATTTGTTTTATTATATTTTTCCCTTTTAGATTGTAGTTAGGCATTCCTCGATGTAATAGGTAGGTTGTGTGTTTATGTGGCTTATGTGTTACGTACCTTACCCGCTTTCTTTAGGATTTTTGTATCTAGATATTATGCTTATGTGTTACGTGCTACGTGCTCTTATGTGTTTATTTGTTTTAATTTATGCCTACTTGTCTTGTTATGTATTAAAAATGCAAGACGTCACCACACTGGTCCAATACTAGCTGTGGCTTTTTCCTCTCTGCTTACTTGCTAGTCCAACGCTAGTAAGGATTTTTAGAGATGGGCTAGTCCAACGCTAGACCCTTAGATTGTTCATGCGTTAGATTCATGTTTGTGTGATATTCATTACATTTTCATGCGTATTTTTATTTTTAGGATCTTTTCTCATTTGCACGATATTCCCTATTATTTTACCCCTATCCTTTATATGTATTAATCATATCATTTAGAATTACATCTCATTCAAGAAATTGTAGAATAAGTTAGTTCATTTGCTTGTTCATATTAGGAAAATTATTTTTGAACATGGAAATGGGCGATTATAATTTTTTAGTTTAAATATCCATTAATCTTTGTATAAGAAAATTATGTCACGAGTTTTTGTCTCCCGTACCCATTATGTTGCATTCCTATTCTTTGGCCATTTATATCTAAATATATAATTTAAGTTTCTTTTCTTTTCTTTGAATTTCATTCATGTATGCTCATGACCCTTCAAGAATTATTTTGGCCTTCGCAATTAATGCGATTAGTATCAATTAAACCCTTGAATGGATATTTAGTCCCTTTTGATATTTTATAAATTTAGATTTACATTCATGTAGGAAACATCCAAATGTGATAAAATTAAAAGTTAGATTAGAGAAAATTCAACTAAACCACGCAACTAGCTTAGACTAGGTTGAAAGGGTGCCTTAGGTTTGAATTAATCGAATCTTTGCCTTCCCTTTCTTCAAACGCGACTCCCGAACTCGTTTTCTCTTATTTTCAAAGACCTAGAGTTGTCAAAAGGGTTCTATTTTATTTTATTTTTTGGGTGACTTGGTACACCAAAACTCCATACCAAGTGGCGACTCATCTTTTTTTTAAAAATCCTTTTAGACTAAATTTTGGACCCAAATTGCCGCATTTTTTAAGTCCCATTCTAGGTCCTTTTTTATGTATTTTTAAATAAAATCACATCCTTTGTAAACTTTGTTGGAGAATTAAGAATGATCAATAGTAGACTCAGAAAAGTTAATTGAAAGATTAGATGTGCGTGAGTTAGAATTAAGTTTATACTGTGTGCGCGTCGAAAGTTTTCTGAAAATCGCGCCGGTACAAATTAATTGGGGATTTGAGAAATTAATACTAGACTCGTGTGAGCACTCATGTTTTTATTCTTAAATAGTCATTTTATAATTATTTACCCTAGTATTAGTTAATTTTATTATCGTTATATAAATTTTTTTTAAGTTTCGCTTTATCGCTCGCGAATCGGAAGTTCGCGTATATCGAGCTAGAACGGGTAAATGGAGAATTAAGAAATTTATACTAGACTACTAAGAGTGAATAATTATAGTGTCAAAGGAATTACATTGAAAGTTTAGTGCACAAGTGAAACAAGCAAAAGAGAAAACGGTGGTACGGTACCCATGCGCGTGCACTACTCCTAGTTGACTTTTGCACAAATTTCGGCCACAAATCCCTTAAGCTTCCAAGAGAAGCTTAACAACTCAAAACACTTGACGTGCCTGGAGCACCCTTTAGAACATTGTCCACTATACCTCGTCCTGGAACAAACCTTGTTTGCCATGGTGAAATGAGCTTCGGGAGGAGCTTACTTATCCTGATCGCCAATATCTTAGACACTATCTTAGAACTTACATTACAAAGACTAATAGGCCGAAAATCCTGCCAATGGGATGTAACCTCCACTTTTGGGATGAGCACCACCATAGAGTGTGACCAGCTCTTGGGTTGCTCCATACCCTGGAAGAAGTTCTGGATAGCCATAAGCAAGTCATTTTTAACAATGTCCCAACAACTTTGAAAAAATCCTGCTCCAAACCCATCCGGACCCGGAGCGCTCTATGTCTCCATTCCAAACACTACCTCGTGGATTTCCTCCATCGTAGGAAGCCGTTTCATGAGCTCGTTATCCTCCTGGGGACTCTAGGAACCTTAAAAGGAAGTTCAGTGAGGGCCTGTACCTGACAGTTGGATGAGAACAAGTCCGAAAAAAAGGATATTGCTGAGTTCTTAATATCCTGTAGGTCTTCATGCCATCCCCCTTCCTCTTTCCTAATACGGGAAATGAAATTCGAGTTTCGACGCTGGTAGACCAAGAGTGAAAAAATGCAGTATTAGCATCCCCCGCCTGTAACCATTTAATACCTGCCTTCTGATGCCAAAATACACACTCCATAGAAAGTGTCCGATTGTATCCGCTCTGGCCTCATGGAGATGAATCTTCGACTCCTCACTTCTAAAGCAAATCATGCTCCACCTCCCTCTGTTTTAACTCCTGCTCCGCCTCTGCCACCTTAGATGAGACATTGCCAAACACACACACAGTTCCATTGTTTCAATTTATCTCGCACCGTTTTGAGCTTGTTGTAAAATCTAACCATCTCCATGCCATAGACCTCTTCACTCCATGCATCCGACACTATCTCCCGAAACTGGGGGTGCCGGTGCCAAACATTAAGAAACCGAAAGCAAGACGATCTAACCCTATAGCCTGCACATCGAATCAACAAAGGGTTGTGGTCCGATCTCCCTCTGGCCATATAGGAAACCCTAGAAAGTGGGTAGGCCTCGGACCACCGCCTATTCCCCAATGTCCGATCCAAGCGCTTGCCAGACTGACCCATTAGTCCATGTGAATCGAGATCCATCAAAATCAATTGTAGATAGCCCGCATTTGAACATGGAAACATTAAATTCATCTATGTTCCGAACATTAGCTGGAGCCCCCCCTTCACGCTCCTCTGCTGAAGCTATGACATTAAAATCGCCTGCTGCTACCCCCCCTTCACGCTACTTGCTTTTAATTTATTTCATGGCTTACAGGTATATTTAACCTTTTTTCCACACCTTAAGATTGGTGATAAGACATGAACGGTAGTAAACGTGGTCGAGATTGTATTTGAGAGCGTAGACAAACTTGAGGTTTTGGAGGTGACCAGGGATCGGCGGTGGACCAAAAAAATTGAGAACTTAAGGTTGAAACTGGGACCCAATGCTTGATTGCCAACTTCATATATATTAAAAACTATGAGATTTGAGTTGGGGAAAGAAAATATTTGATAGATTTAATGAGCCTAACGATTAAGGGACCGGATATCATATTTAGAATGGGAGTTTGAGACCATACATAGACTATCGAGATTGGAACAATGTGACCATTAAGAACAAAAACCCTTTTGCCTTACATGGATAAGAATTTGATCAACTGTAAGGAGCCATGGTACTATCCAAGTGGGATTTAAAGTAGAAATATTATCAGTTGAAGCTCCTAGAAACCGATGTGCCTAAAACCATTTTCAATTCAAGATATGAGTACTTTGAATTTTTAGTTACGTCTTTTGGGTTGACTAATGCACTAGCAGCATTTACAGACCTAATGCATCGGAGTTTTAAATCGTATTTGGATTAATCTGTGGTGACATTTATTAATGGTATATCGGATTACTTTAAGGTTCGAGAAGATCATGAAAGACACCTGATGATAGTTTTACAAACTCGGAGAGAGCACCAACTTTCGTTAAGTTCAATAAATGTGAGTTCGGTTGGAAGAAATAGCCTTTCTAGGTTATACAATATCTAAAGAAGGAATTATTATAGACTCAGCTAAAGTGGAAGCTGTTTAAGAGGAAACGATCTAAAAATCCTACAGAAATTTGGAGTTCTTAGAGTTAGCCGAATATTACCTTTGATTTATCAAGGACTTTTCTAAGATTGTAAGAGTTGGTAAGTTATTTGGGATTTTAAATGTTAGAAAGAATTTTAAAAGTGAAAAGTGTTTAACCGATGCAACTGTGTTAGCCTTACCGAGCGGAGGAGATAGTTTTGTGATTTATACAGATGCTTCAAAAGATGGTTTAGAATGTATATTAATACTACATGATAAGGTGATTGTGTATGCCTCTAGAAAGTTAAAATCTCATGAGAGAAATTATCCAACTCATGATTTGGATTTAGCAGCTGCGATATTTGCATTAAAGAAGTGGAGACATTACCTATATGGGGTAGACATTTGGCCGATTAAGTTGCCCTATAATTTGAAAGTTAAAACACCTATTGGGGAAAATCAAAGTTTGATTGCTAGTTGGATGAATAGAAATTGCGAAGTATGGGTTGGAAAACGTAAGTTAGTGATTGATCTGATAGACTTAACCATCAAGGGAATGATATTGTCCTAAGTGTGAATTTTGAGGACAAAATTCTTTTTAAGGAGGGAAGGACGTGAGGACCCGAAAATTTTCTTATTTTTATCTTAATTTACTGGTTTATTTAATTATTTATTCACCTATTTTCTCCAAATAATTTATTTCAACCATTGTAAGTCCATTTGTATGGAACAATGTCTCTTATGTTTTTAAAACGTTTCGTTAGAAAAATTTATTTTTCGGAGACTCGTTTAGTACGGAATAACAAGTACACATTTTTTGAGATAAAATTCGATTCGAGATCACAATAATCTTGGAGAATTAAGAATGATCAATAGCAGACTAAGAAAAGTTAATTGAGAAATTAGATGTGAGGGAGTTAGAATTAAGTTTATACCGTGTGCGCGTCGAAAGTTTTCTGAAAATCGCACCGATACAAACTAATTGGGGATTTGAGAAAAATTAATACTAGACTCATGGGAAAACTCATATTTTTATTCTTAAATAGTCATTTTATAATTATTTACCCTAGTATTAGTTAATTTTATTATGGTTATCTGAATTTCTTTTAAATTTCGCTTGATCGCGCGCGAATCAAAAGTTCGCGTATATCGAGTCGGAACGGGTAAATGGAGAATTAAGAAATTTATACTAGACTACTAAGAGTGAATAATTATAGTGTTAAAGAAATTACATTGGAAGTTTATTGTACAAGTGAAACAAGTAAGAGAGAAAACGGTGGTAGGTACCTGTGCGCGCGCACTATTCCTAGTTGACTTTTGCACAAATTTTGGCCACAAATCCCTTAAGCTTCCAAGAGAAGCTTCACAACTTAAAACACTCTCTTTTTCTCTCTCTTAGAGCTGGCCAAAACAGCAAGGGAAGAAGGAAGAAGTTTCAACATTTTTACTCCAAGTCTTGCTACCATTTCACTTCAAATTCTTCACACAACTCGCAAAATACTTGGAGATTCACTTAAGTTTGGTGGAAGACACCTTTTTGCGGGTTTTCTTGGGAGAATTTCAGTCCAAAATTTCTGGTTTCTTCCAAAGCTAAGAGGTAGTCTTCATCAACCTTGAACCTTTCCATTTTCTTCAAAGATTGGAGCTTTATTTGCAAGGGTTTGAACCCTAAGCATGGACTAGGCTAGCGGATTGAGGCATTTAATTTCTTTTTTAAATGTTAGGCTAGCGGTCTTGTGGTGACCTCTAGGTAGCTGGCTTGAGGTGTAATTGCTTGAATATGATTGTTATATGTGTAGATGAAAAGATTTTGTCCTGTTATTGCCTTGCTTATATTTCAAATTTTTGATGCTCAAATGACTGTGAAACTGATGTATATTTGTTGTATATGGTGTGTAGAAAGTTTCTACCAAAAATCATTTGAATTGGTTGAGCAAAATTTGAGATTTCGAAAATTGAAAGAACCTGAAAAACGTGTTCAGGCAGTTTGAATAGTACCACTTTGATCGAACATAACTCTTTGTACAAAAATTCAAATTGAGTGCTGTTTATGGCATTTAAAACTAGACATTTGTATCTTTTCAACAGTATGAAATTCACTTTCTAGTTCAAATTGAGTGAGCCGTAATGATTCGACAAATTTGCTGTCCTATTCTGATGGTCTATCCGAGAAAAAATAGAAGCTGCATTTTGTGGCTCAATTTCTCTCACTTATGAATCGATTTTCAAAATGACTTATCTGATGAAATGTAGCCTTATGATTCTAGTTTCCAACGCCACCAACCATTCTCAATTCCAAGTTGTATTGAGTGAAATATGGTTCAATTTCCAAACTGCGGCAAAGCTGGAAAACCCTCCTTTTGCTGGCCGACTGGTTTAGTTGTTTGCGAAATGTTTTATTTTGAAATTTTGATGTCAACCAACTATTAATTGCTTATGAAATGTTTTTTGGACCTTGGTTTCACAAATGAACCAAAATGGGACTGATTTCATGGTGTAAAGTGTTTGAAAAGGAAAAGAAAAGCAAGAAGACAGATTTGCTTTGGGAATTTCTTGAAATTTGGTAGTTTTGTTAACTACCTTCCCGTATGCGTTTTTATGTGAAATTTGATAGAGGAGTAGTTCTCTTATGGAGGTCTAATTGTACCAAATTTGGTGTTATTCTAAAACCATTTTGATACCCAAATGATGTGCCAAATTTGTTTTTCAAATATGGAAAATTTACCAAACAGTCTTCAATTTTGTCCAATTTTGAGCTGCTATATCTTGATGATCAAAACTTTGAATTTCATTCTATTTGTTGTGTTTGAAACCTTGATTGAAATTCTTATTGTGTTACAAATTTCAGAGACTAGTTCATTTTCTGTGAATTTTGCTGAATTTTCAAACTTTGTCGAAAAATAAGACTGAATCTGTCTTGTAGGCTCGAATCAGCCACTTTGAGCTAAAATTTGAATGTCTTCCGTTTAGAATCTTGAAAAGTGTCTTCTAGAAACTTTTATTATTTTGAACCAAGTTTTCAATGGTATAAATTTTTCCAATTTTAAATCTATGAGTGCAAGTTCTGATTTTTCTAAATTTGATGCGCAAAACTGAAATTTTTCGACTTGATGGGAAATAAATTTTTGGAAACTCTTCCCTATCCTTTGATATTGATTGACCATTTTAAACTTAATTTATGAAGGAAATCAGTTTTTCTTGTGTTATTAAACCCCACTTTTGAGTGTTGATTTACGAGTAATTAAGATTCTCTTTCATGACATTTTCTTAGTATTGTACAAGTGAACAATCTTTCTTGTTAACAAGGGGTTTATAAGCGATAGTGTGTGATAGCCAATTACTATTTGCTCAAGCGCTCAAGGGAACCTTCAAGAGGATCTCGAAGCGCATGCCTAAACACTTGTTTGAGCACTTACTCCCTTACTTTGATTGGTAAGTGTCAAGTGCATGATTTGTTGCAATTATGTGAATTGCTTCTTATGGATGGAATGGTTTATAACTATTGAGTAGAGTGTGTATTTTATCGCACTCGTTCTCTTTCAACTGATTGAACAATTGAACTAAACTGCTTGTAACTGAACTGTATTTGAACTGTTTGCATGTCGTTAAAGTGAATCTCCTCGACTTATAACTGAACTGGGGGACGCCCAAATCTCAATTGGCCGACTTTGCGATTCGAGCCAGCAAGGGCTTGGTCGAGAAGCTTAGTGAACCATGAGATAACTGTAAGTTTGATCTATTAAGAGATCTTGCTTGGCCTACTCGCGTAGTAGTGCCTTTTATTGATGTTCAGGCCTGGTGCGATGTATGGTGGACGGAACTGTCAAGTAAGTGGAGTTCTAGGGATTTAAATGCCGACTCGGTTGACGGAGTGTCATCGCGGGAAGGTATTCGATCGAGACTTGGCGAAACAAGTGGAATTTAGCTCCTAAGAGTTCCTATATCCTCATTGAATGTGTTTAATTGTAAGTTGTGAATTGCTTGAATGTTACAACTTTATTTCTTGCTGAAATGCCACTG